GAACTCCTCTGCAAAGATGGCTTCGAGATAAGGGAGGTAACTATTGATCCGGACAGCTCTGCCGGTCGAGCTGCAGATCATGGGAAGAAATTCTGCGGATTTTCTCCGGTTTAGCTTTAGACTGAATTCAATCAAAGCGCAATTAATGCTAATCTTTATACATTGTATTGCCCATGAGAGTGATGCGAGACAAATGATGTTTGTATTACTGAGGAAAAGATCCAAAACTTCTGATTTAAAATTAAAGCTTCAGTAAAAAAAAAAACTTTATTTTCAGAGAACTATATGAGGCCTTTCAATTTTTTTTTTCTTGGGGGTGGGGTGTGTGTGACGGTACGTATTGTCGTTTTGTACATACTGTCGTCGGCGACAATATGTACCTACCCTCACTGCACATATTGTCGTCCATCGGTACATATATTGTCGCCTGCTGAAAAGTTAAACATGTACATATTGTCGCAGGCAACATTATGTGCCTCACCCTCACTGTACATATTGTCGCCCCACAGAAATTGTTGCTTAAAGATTTGTTTTGTTATTTTTGGTAGTTCTGTGAATATAATTTTTGTGTGAATCACACTGACCTGTCTTGTATGCTATTTCATGCAGCGTGGTTATGACTTTACATTTTGTCGTCCTGTTCATATTGTCGCCGGCGACAATATGTACCTACCCTCACTGCACATATTGTCGCCCATCAGAACATGTCGCATGGCAATGCACGACAATGCTCCATATAAATATGGCCAGAGCAACCGAAAACTTCAAAAATGGTCATATACAATTAATTTGATCGCCGAAATATGGCTGAAATATTGCCGACTCTGCGTTAAACAATAATAATACATCAATCAATCAATCCACATAAATATGACTAATCATTGCTTTGCTTTTTTTTTTTTTTTTGAGAAGATATTTTTTAAAGAATTTTCCCGTATATTCCTATGCAAAACTTTGATCGCCCATTGTGGCCCCACCCTAGGCCCGGGGGTCATGATTTGACTTGAATCTTCACTACCTGAGACACGGTGTAGTACCTAAACGGTTGCTATCAGAACAAAAAAGCGTTCATTGTTTCTATTCGTATATTTTAATAGATATGTTGGGGGAACTTATAACAAGAGGTAAAATTGTCAGAAAGTGACCCCAAATCGATCAAGTCTCAGAAAAATCCTTGTGCACGGAACAAGTAAGGGATTTCTTAAAATGATGTCACATGTATTTTGTATAGAACAACCTTCTAAAAATTTAAATATAGTAAAATTTCCAAAGTATGGACCCATTCGCAAGTCAATATACTCCAAGTTTCCATGCTTCTTTTCATCATTTATAGGTTAGTTTGGGTTCAATTTGGTATGTAAAGATGTTTCAATCTATAATAATTCGTAGATATGATAATTTTTTATTTAAAAAAAGCGTATTTTGAAAGAATTTTTTGGACAAAACACGATCTTCTTAAGTTACGGTTACTATCAGAAATGTTGGTATGTAGGCACCGGCTATAAACTGAATATAATGCACCGGTTGCTATTTGAAATATAACTTGTTTTTCAATCAAGAAAGAGAAAATTAAAAATCATATGGCTGCACAGGCCTAAAAAATATATTTAAAACATCCAAAGAGCATATATATGGAACACAATGTCTACATGTACAATTGACATTTGTTGTGTTCTGCCAAGTAGAGCTGATCTTCGAAAAACATCACTATACAAAATCAAAAAGAAAGCTATACGAAGGAAACGTAAGTTTAAATTAAATGAAAGAACTTTACCATCAATACATCAAAAGCTTTGGAAAGCTTTCGAAAACTAGTTTTTTTTTTAATTTTTGTAGCCATATGTAATAATATCTAATGAATTATCTAGAGAATTTTCAGTATAACCTTTGACGGTAGTGCTTTGGTACGCTGTAGCATCAGAAAATACAATTAACACGCATTATTCAAACCATGGGATCTTGAATGGAGAGGATGTCCGATTCCCCCTTTTGGATTATTTTCTGGATTATTAAATTTATACAGATAGAAGAGACAATCAAACCCACCCCGGGGGCTTGAAAGAAGGAGGTTTTTCAGATAGAGAAGACTTCTACTTGTGTTTGCTTGTCAGTTTTCTTATATTTAGTTCTATTTCTCTCTCTGTCTCTTTTGGGTGGGCTTGGAATGGGCTTGGACCCCCCCCCCCCTTTTAAAAAAAGGTGGAGATCCGAACATGAAAAAGGCTAATATTCTATCCAGTAAGTAATATATAATTATGTACATTTAAATCTCAAAATTGAACTTATGCTATGTATCGAAGCTTTCATATACTGTAGCAAGTATCATCTCTTTTGACCCAGTACCTCTTGAGAAAAAAATTGACAGATTTTTTTCTAAATATTCTATGAAAAGCTTTGATCATGATCACCTATTGTAGCCACACCCTTTCCCCTAGGGACTGAATAAAACTTTATCTACACTTCATAATGAAGTTTAGCGCAGTCACTGGGTTTGGAGTTGTTGGCGTAATCATGAATTAATTAGCACTACACATGTCAGCGCCGTGTATTGTATATTTATAAATGATTTCTTAGCGGTATTCATGAATTAGCGCATCGGTGTCCGCGCCAAAGCCGCTGAGGTATCATCTCTTCTGACCCAGTCTCTCTTGAAAAAAAAAATTGACATATTTTTTTCTAAATATTCTATGAAAAACTTTGATCACCTATTGTAACCACACCCTTCCCTCAAGGGACATGATCTGAAAAAAAACTTTATCTACACTTCATAATGAAGCTTTCACATAAGTTTCAACTTTTCTGACACAATGATTCATGAGAAGTTTTTTTAAAGATGTCACTAAATTTTCATTAATTCTTAACTACTTCCCTCGAAAGAGGACATGACCCTTCATTTGACCAAACTTGAATCCTCTCTATCCACGGATGCTATGTGGCAAGTTTGCTTGAGATTGACCCAGTAGTTCTTGAGAAGAAGCTGAAATTATGAAAAGTTTTCAGACAGAGGGACGGTCAGACAAAATGTAATCAGAAAAGCTCACTTGAACTTCCAGTTCAGGTGATCTAAAAATGTCAACCCCAACACCAATTATATATATCGGCACATGATTGTTCATAAAATAAACGAAAAAAAATAATTTCCAAATAATCATTACTACTGAACAAAAAAAAAAACAAACAAACAAACAAACAAAAAAAAAACAAAAAACAAAACAAAACAAAAAAAAAAAAAAAAACAAACAAACAAAAAACAAAAAACTAATACATGTATTCTATCTCCAAGTATATATTACAAGAAAAAAAGAATAGGCTGATTTTTCAGATATCTCAAGAATTACGGTATCTTGACATATCATAGTGATGTACGTCAATCCTGGACACAATTTTTTGACCAGAAAGTTTTCTCCCTACAGCGTTACTAGTAATAGTGTCTGTCTCCTCCGTGCATGTGTGTGTGTGTATTTAAATTGTCAAACTCTCTTTCCTTTCTCAAGTAAATATTTCTCAGAACAACATGTCGACGACAATATATGCCGACCTTGACTGTACATATTGTCGCCGACGACAATATGTGCTGGTGCTTGATTGTATTGTCGTCCATTATGCAGGAGGAAAAGAAGGCTCGTCTCGGTACATATTGTCGCCGGCGACAATATGTACCGATGGACGACAATATGTGCATGCAGTCAGGGTAGGTACATATTGTCGCCAACGACAATATGTACAAAACGACAATATGTATCGTCACAAGGGCCTTGTGGTCATCATCGCACTTGCACATACATTTAAAAAGAATTTTTTTGACACTGAGAATCATATTAATTGATATTTAGGTGTAAATGTTGAGTTTTCCTGTTTCTTTTTCAGCAGGGAATACCAGCAATTTGCCCAATGAAAAATATTCCAAGAAAATGAAATAGTGATGAACAGCTATAATGCATGACGTATTCAATTAATTTAAATGTTTTAAAGGTTTGAATTGGTTACAAATTGAGTAAGCAGTGAATGTATTAATGCATGAATTATAGCCACGTGGACTTGTTTCTGTAATAAATTCTTAACTGTGTCCTGTGTTTTTATTACTATACAATAGGGTTTATAAAAAACAACAACAACAACAAAAGAAAAAAAAATCATTACAGGAACAAGTGTTTATGGAATCAGCTCTGTATAATGTGCAATGTACTGTATGTATTACAGGTTAAACCTTTTTAAGATTCTTAAAATCTGAAGTGGCATGCGCGGATCTAGAGGGGGTTCGTGGGGTCCAGACCCCCCCCCCCCTCCCTGGAATTTGCGGAGTTATTAAATGTACAAGTATAAAGTAACTATAAAATGACCCAAGAACCCCCTTCCTTCCGAAAACGTGGACCCCTGTTTAGTTGGTAGGAAAAGTCATACACACGAAGCTTAAGAAGTACATCTATACAAGTAGCTCCCGTCCACGAAACAGGTTTTTCACTTTTAATGGGAGTTTTTTTGGGGGTTGTTTTTTTTTGTCCAGAAATTTTTGGGTTAGATTTTTTTTTTGGACTGGGTTGGACCCATTGGGAAAAAATCCGGATCCGTGCCTGGGTATTGTATTTGTGGCTATTTGGGGGTGGGGTGGGGGGGGTGGGGGGGTGGGGGTGAGGGGCATTTTCAATCAGTTTTTAATCAGCCTTATCTTCTTCTTCTTCACAGACACTTATATCTGTAATATCTTAAATTAGTATCTTTACCCCATGGAATAAAAATAGCATCAATAGAATTAAGAAAATATTACCATGATTACAGAAACAAGTGTCTGTGCTTTTGGTGACCACGGAGAATTTAGAATTTAAATATTTTACATGAATATAAACATCTTTCCTGGAAAATATAGCAAGCTATGTCTATGAGAAAATTCATAACCTTTGAATTTCGTAATCCGGGTAAAGGCGACTATATTTATCGCCCTCCTCTTTCCCAGAGATTGCCTCTTTACGATTAATGCACCGAATCATTGAATGACTTGACAAAGAGAGAACGCAGCCAAGAAAAGATAACCTAGGGCTGAAAACATTCATGGTTTTTCCCCGGGAAAATAATTTAAAAAGTTGCGATTGGAAATGATTAAGTCCTTTACCAATAAGATAAAAACACTAGTGTTCAGTGATAGTTCATGCGACAGTAATGTGACTTCAAATCGAAAACGAAAAAGGAGTATTAGCGAGGGGTTTGTATTACCGTTTCGAGTTTCCTCAGATCGCTTGCTAAGTTTATACACTCAGCATATAAACTAATAAACTGTGCATTTAGGAGAGTGTTTTTGTAAAGTAGAGCAGCACAACACTTTCATTGGATTAAACTGATTGGGAAATAAAAAGAACCGCTTAATTTTTAACGTTTGTTAAAACTGTAATGGTGAAAGAAAAGAAAAAAAAACCTAGAAAAAAAATCATCCGATCAGGTCTAGTACAATCTCTCGATTTAGCTGTATAGCCAAATTGACTTTATAGCTTTATTACGCTATTCAAAATAGCCTTATGTAGGCCTAGTTATTTTATCAAACTTTTTTCTTAAATGTGATATTTTTCACCATGTACCATACAAAAAAGACCACACTTTAGTGCGATGATATTTTTTCAACTTTGAACTGTTTTGAGAACAGTAAGTAAGTAAGTAAATTGTATCTAAAGTCAGCATTTTCTATATGAATAACAATTAACATGAGTTCTGTAGAGTTTTAAAAACAATGCAGGTAAAAATCGCTTATCAAAATATGTTTCAATCCTTCAGAGATTCAAAGTTCTAAATTTTTGGGGGCTATATAAACATGATAAAGCAACTGATGCACAAAATTCACACTCACATTAAAGAGTTGGTTTTAAGAATGGCTTTTCCATTAATTGTAATTTACCTGAAGGATAATACAAGGATTTTGAATTCTTAATCACATTTGCAGACAAACATAGCACTGAGTTAAAAGATGTAAATATAAGCATTGAATTTTTGTATTTTTGAAAGATGTAGTCTCCTAAGTGCAACAGTGTGTTCAAACAAATTGAGTAACATGTTACAAGCTTTAACTAATTCAAGCTTTATAGCTAAATTAAGAGATTGTGTTGGATCTGCTAATTGGTTAATTGTTAATTAGTGAATATTAATCGACATGATTGACAGATGATCTTTCCTCAAGGAATTGTTACCTCAATAGATAGTTTTCGACTGGCCTGAATTTAGCAAGAAATATTTCCTGTTGGTCGCCATGTTGGAGGTACACAAGCCCGAATTCATTCATTATTCAACCAATTTAAACTTGTCGTACTGGGCAATTGGATAAAGATAACACAATTTTTCTTATGAATTTATGTTTACTCAAGCTTCCTTTAATTCGTAATTTTAGTATTTAAAAGATTTTTGCTCTTATATTACCATGATTACTGCAATACAAGTTTAAAATTGGCTGCTCAAAGAGGAAAATTCGTTAGTTGGACCTCCAATATGGCAGCCAACGGGAAATAAATCTAATTTGCTAAATTCAGGCCAGTCAAAAACTATCAATTTCTCTTTACAATGAATAATTAAAACTAGTAATTATGTAGAGCATGATGATGACATCAAAATTCAATGTGAAGAATTTTAAAACATGGAAGATTTGAAATTTATATGGGAGAGACAGAAAGGGGTAGAAATATCGGGAGATTTTTTTTCCCACCAGAAGAATCATGGGTATGCAATATTTTGAGAAATGTCCTTTCTGCTTAGGAGATGTCAAGTCTCTCATGTACACGATTGTGTGCATGTATGTATGTGTTCATGTATACATGTGTGCATGTATACATGTATGTGTGCATGTATGTGTACAACTGTACATGTATGTGTGCATGTATGTGTACAACTGTACATGTATGTGTGCATGCAACTCTCGTAGCCTGATTACACCATAACTTGAAAATTCAGAAGCAAACTCAGAATGCTGATGTACTGGATAAAATAGACGTTAATCTGGTTTTATTTTCAGAATGAATTCTGGTTTAATTTTCGGAATGAATTGTGATTCAATTTTTGGAATGAATTCGGGTTAAATTTCAGAATGAACTTAGTCATGTTAAATGAGATTTATTTTTTTTAGAAATAAGTGAAGTAGTGTAAATTAGTTTATCCTATCAAGATAATGAGACGGATTTCAATTAACCCTATCATGACAAGTGCTGCATTACTGCTCTTTTTGCAGGGTGAATTGATAATGTTTGGCACAATTTGGTTGGCACATAGTTAAAGAACAGTACATGTTCTTTATTAATTGAACAATTGCTGTTACATCATAAATATATATATATATATATATATATATATATATATATATATATATATATATATATATATATATATATATATATATATATATATATATATATATCTCTCCAAACTATTACAGTCTTTTACTAGATATATGTCTTTTTTTGACCATCTATTTTTGGGGTGTAAAATTAATAGGAACAGTTAAGTCAACTTTGTCAATGTTGTTTTGTTAAT